TGCCTCGCGCGCGCCTTCCCCCGCCGGCGGGTTTCGGGGCGATGCTCGGGTCCGGTGGGACGTGGCGCCTGTCCCCACCGGCCCGGGCGCTCGCCGTGGGCACGGCACAGCACGGCACGGTGGGGGTCTTCCCATCCTCCCCCTCCCTGCTCCACCCCGGGGTGTCTGCTCACCGCCGTCTTTCTTGCTGATCTCTGGAATTCGTTGGTGGGGGGGGTGTGGAAAGAGCCGGAGGCCGAATTCTGCTCTGCGTAGGCCTGAGCCGTCGTGGGTGTAGCTCTGTGGGCGCCGCCGGCGGCCACCTGACCCGATCTCGGAGCACCCCCGCTCCATTGATTTATTTATTTTTTTCCATTATTATTTTTTGTTAATTTTCCCAGCAGAGCCGCCGCCGCCTGCCCCTGGCGTCTGCGAGCGGGTCGGCCCCACTCGACGCCAGGGCGGTGTTGGCACCAGGTCGCGGGGGAGAGGTGGCCCGAAGGGGCGCTTGGGCAGCGCGTGCACCCTGGCCGTCTCCTCCTCCTCCTCCTCGGAAGCAGAGGGGCCTGGGGCAGGCTATTTCTGTTGAGATCCCGAGGAAAGCTCTGGGAGAATTGTAGGCTTCTATAAATAGTGTGTCAGCCGAGTGGAAACAGAGCCTTGCAATGCTCCTGCTAGTCTCCCGAGCGCTAGCAACCAGCGCTTGGCAAACAGGGCAGCTGTGGGGGGGCTGCTTCCCGCCTCTGGGCCCGTGGCGTGGTCGTGCTGCGGCGGGGGGACCCTGTCTGATGCACCCCCTGCACCGGAGACCTGGCCCCGCTCCCTAGTCTGCGGTCTGATGTGGTCATGTGGGGTGCTTCCGTCTTGGGGGCAACAGGAGACCCTATAAAAAGACCTCGGTCTTCACGAAGCGCCGTGCGTCCGCTCTCGGGAAATCGGGGCCTGTCGTGGCGTGCCAGGTCCAGCGTCCCGGTTGCGTTGGCCCCTCGCGCCGACTCTTACGGGCCACGTCTCTGGGAGGCAGGGCACGGTCCTGATTTACGCCCGGGGTAAGGCAGAGGGGACCGGGGCCTGCTCTGTGCCACCGCGCAGGCGGTGGAGGTTGTGCACGTGGTTAGGCCCAGCGAAGGTTCGCGTAGCGTCTATATTATATCTATATATCTTCCCCTGGTGGGAATAAGTGCCAGGCAGAGATCCCGCCATGCTGACAGGCCTGCTAATAACTTGGGCTTCTGGAGGGAGGAGGGCATTTCTCTTGTGGCCGGCGTGGCGCGAAGGGGCCCAAACCCCTGCTTCTGCGGGCATGCTCCGGACCTGGGCTTTGGGACGCGCGAGCGACCGGCCGCGTGAGGGGCAATTGAGAGCGTGTCGTCACGTTACCTCGTGCGCTCGCATCCACAGCAGAGGGGCCACAATTTGCACCTGCAAGGCGTTCTCTGGACGCACGTGGCGTGGGCGGGCGTGACCCCCTGCTCTCTGTGGTGCCCCATCTCCCCTCCCTAGATGTGAATGCTGGCATTGCTCACCAGAACACCTGTGCATGCTGTGGTGGGGGCACACCGCCTGGTGTGGCACACGTGGTCTTCCTGGTGTGTATGTGGAAATGCCTTGTGCTGCATGCCATGGCGCCTTCGCTGCGTGTGCATGTGGGCATGCTTTTCCCTGCGATGTGACCAGTGTGTGGACTGGTGTGCTGTGGCCTGCCACGCCATGTCTTCATGCGTGCCGGCATGGGCCAAGGCAACACTTTCATTTCCTCACACGATGGCGCGGCACCGTGGCCTCTTCCCTCTTGTGCGTTGCACTAGCCACCATGCCCTTTCTACCCCCGAGATGCTAGGGTGTTGCATTGCCCACGGGGACACCCCTTCCCTGGCATGGGGGCATCGGCGGAGGTGTTTATTTTCGCAGTAAAAGGTGGCTCGAGCACCGTGGCCGGGTTTTATTTACTTTTTGCAAATACCAGAGGGAAGCCAACGTGATCTCCCTCAGGTGTCCTCTGAGTTTTTAATGTGATGTCTCATGGTTGCAGGGGATCGTAGTGGGGTGGGGGTGTTATTTGGTGCTGTAATGTGAAATGGCCTGGAGTTTATTGTGCTGCCTTCAGGGCCTGGCTGGGGCAGAGGGGAGCATACCCTTGCTGCCCTCGGGGAGCAGAAAATGTGGCCTGTGTGCAAGGAAGGGAGTGCTGCCTTGAGCAAGGTACGCGGAGCGTGCGGGCTGAGCCCGGAGCTGGGGGTGGGGAGGGGAGAGCCCTTCCTCCGTGGGGGAAGTCTGAACCACAGACTGCTCCGTGGGAACCGCTGCCCGGCCCGGGCACGGGGTCCTGGGTGCACGGGGAGCGGACGGTTTGTAGGGAGAATGCGCCCCTTGCTGCAACAGAGTCTTCAAGGCCCCGGTGCGCTGGGCACGAGAAGGGTCCCTGGGTGCTGAGCAATTCCTCAGGGAGCCAATTAAATGGCTCATTTTCCCCCCCCCACCCTCCCCCAGCTGAGGGGAAGCCGGATTTCGGAGGCGGGGGCCAGGCGCGCTTTCAAACAGGCTGCCCGTTGGGGCCTGTTACCTGCCCGGGCAGGAAGGCTGCCCCCGGGGAGCACCTGTTAGAGCTTGCAGGATGCGTGCGTGCCAGCTGGCCGCGACAGGAGTGCGTCCCCCTCGGCCGGGGAGAGGAGGGCAGGGGGGTGTCTCCCTCCTGCCCCTTCCTACCCCCCAGCTGCCTGCGGTCACGCTGCTGGTGCTGGGAGTGGGGCGAGACGTGGCCAGGTGCGTGGGACGCGCTTAGAGAGGGAAAGCAGCTCGGCTTCAAGGGCAGGGCCGAGCCCTCCCCCAGGCAGCTGGGGCCGCCAGCCCAGGTGGGCAGCGTAGGTGCTGCGCAGACCAGGCCGGGGTGGTGGGGAGATGTTAGCAAGAACTGGCAGGCGCGAAGCTCTCTGGGGAGGGAGAGGGAGAGAAGTCCCAGCCCACCTGCAGAGAGGGGGGCAGGCTGCAACGCAGGAGCCAGAGCTGGGATTCGCGCGTTGTCATGCACATGGAGAGGAGGTGGGGGATCCTCTGCAAGCATGTGCATGGGTGCTCCAGAGACGCCCACCCTCCCCGGAAGATAACGGAGGGGCAAGGCAAGCCTGGCGGCTCCTCCGCTCTAGGCGCGGGCTTAACTCCCAGCTGACTGCAGCATCTGGATCCGCCTGAGCCTTTGCAGAGTCAGGGCCTCAAAACCTCCGGGTGAACGCAGCCCGCGCCCGAATCTTCGCCCGCGGGAGCCAGAGGGGTCCGTGCAGCGAGGGTGGGGAAATCATCCGGAGAGACCAGAGGGTAAGGCACGGAGACGGGGCGCAGAGGAGGGCTGGGAGCTGGACCGAAACCCCGGGCGGAGGGAAGCTCCCCGTGGCGCTGGCTGGTTCCTGCTTTCCGGCCAGTCTTAGGTAGGAAGGCAGCTGGTCGGGACCTGTGGGAAAACAATGCAAGCGGGGTCTCGGCGGGAGGGCAGGACTGCGGGGCCGGAGCGCTGCCGGAGCCCTGGAGGTGACAGTGGACCGCGCTGAGCAGAGAGGTGTTTGCGAGGCAGGCCAGCGGCACGGGAAGTCCGTGGGCTTGGGGCCCGTGGCCTTAGAGACTGGAACAGAGGAGCCATTGTCTTCCTTCCCAGCCCCCCTCCGAGGGATGGGGCCGGGCTTCCCTGCCCCTCCGGACGGGCTGCGTCCATCTTCCAGGAGAGGCGCAGCCCCCTCTCCGGGTGGTGGTCCTGCAGCTCTGAGTGGGGGCATTTCCCCTCGGGCTCCCTTCCCTTGGCGGTGGATCTGAGAGGCTCTTGGCACATGTAGGAGGATCCCTCCGGCTCCATAAGCAGCAGCAAACCGTGAGTCACTGGAGGGTCCCAGTGCCCCCAGTACAGGAGCTGGGCACTGGGCTGTGGGTGCCGAAGGAGGCAGGGGAGCTTGGCACGCGGGAGAGGGCTGGGGAGGAGTGAGCGGGGCTGGGCTACGTCCGGGCGCAGGAGTGAGTTGTGGAGCCAAGAATCCAGATGGCACCGGCAGAGGACGGCTGAGGCCCGGGGGACAGCTGGCCGCTCTCTGGGGGCATCAGGGTGCTAGCAGGGAGACCCCAAAAAGAGGGGCCAAACCCTGGCAACAGGTTGTGCTGGGGCAGGAGAGCTGGGCACTCATTGGGCTGCGATGCATTTGTCCCTACAGTGGCCCTGGGCACAGCCACCCTGATGGGCAGGGAGCTGGGACGCGAGGAGGTGGAGGGTCTTGTCCAGGGGTCTCCCAAGAGCCAGGGCAGTGCCCTAACCCCTGGGCCACCATTTCACCCTGCTTATCCACAGTCTCAAGGGGTTTCTTCCCTTGCTCCTTGCTCCGATGGCAGGCCGGCGACTGCAGGGGGAGGGGAGACCCGGGGGCTTTCCGTCAGCAGGTCAGAGGCCTGCGTTTGCAGATGGATGGCAGCATGCCCGGGCTGTAATGTGACCCTGGCCTGCTGCTCCCAGCCCCAAGGTCAGCGCCTGGGCCTCAGTCTCCTAGCTGCTAACCTCTCAAACCCACCCTGTCTCTCCGCCCCCCCTGCGGCCAGCACAGTGTCCCCGTCGCCCGTTTTGCCCCTGGCCGGCAGCGGTGCACGGGTGGGATGTTCGTGCTGGCTCCGCGTGGCTCCAGGGATGCAGGGGGGCTGTGGGGACCTGAACCTCCCTCCTGCCCCAGCTCTGGGCAGCTCGGGGACGGGTATCTCTGGGCTCCCAGAGGAGGAGAAGGCGCCTGCCCTGGATGGTGGTGGGGCAGCAGGGCTTTGTCCGTGCTTTCTTGCCCATGCGTAGCGGGAGTAGGGGCAGAGAGCAGGCCCTCATGGCGTATGCAAGTGTGGGCAGGGCAAGAGCCAGAGACCAGCTGGAGCTGGCTAGATCCTGGGGGTGCTGGAGGAGGCATTGGCATGGAAAAGCCTGGCTCTGGGGGCCTCTTGGCGCTGGCTGTCCCCTGGGCCCGGTATGCGCATGTGTGCACTACAGCTGATGGAGAGGAGAGCCAAGGGGAGGCAGGCAGGGAGGGGTCAGCTCTTAGCCTGCTCCATGGGGGCATCGCAGGGTCCCCATGGCCTGGCATGAGCTACAAAGAAGCAGCCTCCCAGCTGTCTTGGGACACTGCCTCGCCTTGGTCCTCTTCCCTCCTGGGATGAAGGGCATCCACTTGGTATCCAGGTCTGCGCCTGGGTGGGTGAGGGGGCCAGGGCACGGCTGGCACATGGCAAGTGAGGGGTTGAATCCCTGATCCCTGGGGACAGGAGCTGTGCTCTGCAGCCTCCATGCCCAGCCCCAGCCATATTCCCAGCCCCAGCCATTCGGGAGGAGAGGAGAGCAGCCTGCAAAGCTTGTTCTCAGTCCTGCCCTCCTTCCTCCTGCCTCTGCTGCTCCAAAAGCAGGGATGCCCTACAGGCAGCACACTCAGGATCTGAACATGGGCGTGGGGGTTGGGATTTCAATGCTGCTCCTTCCTCTCCTGCCCCCCAAGCTGACAACTTTGCACCCCTGTGCCCAGCTGCTTACAGGGGCAGGGACCCCTCTGCCCTCCTTGCCAGGCCTCCCCCAGATACAGGTGAAGCAAGCCACCACAGGCCCGCTCTCTTGTCAAATAGGCACAGGGGGGTGAAATGAGCACTGTGTGTGCAAGAGCCGAGGACTGCAAGCACACGGGCCTGCACGCGTGTGCGTGGTAACACCTCTGCGGGGGTATGCACGCGTGTGCCTGCGCACACACGGACACCCAGCCCCCGCAGGCACATGCAAGCTCCCCGGGCTCCCCTTCCCGCAGCCACCCCTGCCAGATGCCGGCTGGCTGCCAGGGCGTGCAGGCAGCTCCCCTCCGAGACGGGCAAGCATCCCGCGTGCTCAGACCCCTTCCCCCCGCCCGGCATTCCAGGGGAGTGAAACACAAGCGCTGGCAGGGGCCGTCTGCTCGCTCCGGCCTGCTCTGCTCTCCGGTTCCTGAACAAAGCCTCCTGGCTCTCCTGGGAGTGGGGCTGAAACAGGAGAGGCGGGTGCTGCTGCCGCTGGCC